TATTTGGAGTAGATATACAGGATTTTGCAATTTGGTTGTTTCAAGAAAATCCATGACATGAACTGGGAGGTCATGGCGAGTTGGTATGGAATGACCTCAAATCTAAATATATAATCATTTTCTGTTGATTGTTATTTTATCTATCTGAAATGGAGAATACATCACTGTAACAGAAAAACAACCACTCATAAAGCAGCAGTTCTGTATACAAACCAAGCACCCCAAGACTTTTACATTCCCATGTTAGCCAAAATTGCCTGGCCCAACCATGACCTACATTGGGCACAGCTGGTTGCACAGACTTTTGCCTCAGGTATGATGAATGGGTCGCCTTTGGCCCAAAGCTTGCCCAAGTGCTAATAACTGGAGCTGATTCTGAGCCAAAATCGCCCCATGTCTGCATCTCATAAACCCAGCCAAATCTGAACCTTGCTGGTGTCAGATTACAACCAACTCACAGATATTCAGCTGCAATTGGCCTGGCTCTGCTGGCTACCTGGGCTACTGTAGATTAATTCTTACCTTGCCTTTTTTTTCGATTAACTTCAGCCAACATTAACAGAAAGCCACATCATGATATCGAAGCCCATCCATAGGAAAAAAAACCTCTCCCTTTTTTGTAAATAAAGTGACATGACTCATTAATGTGATGAATGACCATGCAATTCCCCAGGACCTCAGCATCAAGCCTCCGCACCCCCAACCCCCTTCAGGCGTCCCTCTTGTGGGCCATTCCGGGTGAAAGCCGAACATTTAAACGTGTGCCTCTAAGTGCTGAGGCAAGCAGGTCCGCTGGCCAAATGGTTGCTCTTTTCAGCTGTTGAAGCTCCCAAGGACCCATTTCACTGTTAACATCAAATCATTAAATTCACCCTATACTCAGTCACTTAGAGTTATAGGGAGATAGATAGCAAGACAAAGACAGTGGGTAAAGTTAAAGAAGAAAGAAAAAAAAAGGTCATTTTCAGCTGTAAAAGCTAAATAGGCCACATTATTAGGTTGGAAAAAAAAAATAGAATCAAAACTGACAGCTCTCTCTGGTCTTAATTCCATCTTGTCTACCACAAATGCAAATTACTGCAATTTTAGTTCATAAAGGAGGGGATCAATAAAATATGATTTGACTAATAAGTCACTGTCAAAGCGCAGGACTTGAGATTATTATATTATACTGCAGTATTAAAAACGAAATTGCATCTTTGGTCGAGTCTGAAAATCTCTGATAGCGTCTTACCTTGAACTTGTATGAATACACATGCAGACGAGGGCTACAAGTTGAAGCTCTCTGTCAGATTTTTAAATGATTCTAATATGTCTGGGTTATTCGATACAAGCTTCTCTGACTAAGCAAAGTTAAAATGGTGAGATGTGTGTGTTCATTTATGTGGAGAAATAGGAGGAAGGAAATTGTATAAAAGGCAAACAACAGATGGTGTAGCCCTTCAGATGTTTAGTCTCTCTGGCTAAATGCAACCTTGATGTACACAAATGTGTTCAGAGTTCAGCCAGTGTATTATTTCATGCTACCTCAGGGTACAGAAGAACTGACTGTCCACAAATATCTTGCTCTTCTTCTGCAGGAAAATGTTTTATGATCTCTGATACGTCAAATTTACAGTAAAATGCCCGTCAGAGTGGTGTACAGAAAGTCCCGCACGAATCATGTGTTTACAGTTACGCAATGGAAATATGCGCCTTCAGTGCTTTCATGCATGCTTGTGCTTGTGGCTATACTATTCTAGAGTGCGAAAATTTCACATTCCCACAGAAATCACTTGATACGACACATTACTTAGGGACTCAGTTATAAACAGAGACTGCTCATACAGTAGAATCTATTATAACCACTTTCAAGACACTTACAGAGGTGTTCTACCCTCAGCACTACTGGGCGACTGACTGGTTTCTATGGGAACCAAAGTGCATCACAAGCCAATAACATGAGGATACAGCTGCTGTGCTCACAGGAGAGGCAGCATGGAGCGAAATGAATGGAAATGTATCGAAACTAATAACAGGTGTACAGAGATAGAAGGCTAAAAGAAAGAAAAGCACACTTTGTTTAAAAGAAAGATAGTTGAGGGAAAATAGCACGGCATGGCGCAGTGCACTCCAGGGGTGTTTGACTTTCCCACTTTCATTACTTTGAGCTCTGTAATCTTGATGTTCAAGGCAAGTAGAAAGATAGCAGGTGAAGGCCATCATGTTTGAACTAGTCTCACTTGGGTACAGTATGAACTTACAGGTGCACCGCGAGCTCGGAGTCACTCAGATACAGCACTCTGCGCTTCTAGAAAGATGAAAGAAATGACTTTATATCAGGTTGCCTTCTTTTGTATTCAGGCCTTGCGCCCACTGCCGATCAATTTCTGAATCAATCACCTAAATAAACACAGAGCAATTTCTTCTTTTACAGGATTGTTTGCAGAATCGGTGCATGTGTGTGTGCCTTTGTATTGAGGTGGTCATTTTACTAAATGACTGACTTGATGAATATTCAGTTCTCGAACAGTGTGGCCTACAAACACTGTGATTGACTAAAAGATTATGTGGAATGCACCTGCACTTATTAATACACAGCATGTGGTCCAGTGCATGCTGCTTATTAATTAGTAACTCCAGCGAAACATGTGCCAAATTCCCAGTCTGTACACCATTCAGTTCCCCACTGGTTTGAGTCGTGCAGTCAACCATCTGTAAAGGCATCTCATCTATTTCTTTACCAACAAACAAAAAGTACATCTGATTTTGTTTTTATGGACCTTGTAAATGTCTGTGTCTAAGTATTAGTTTATGTGTGCAAGTGTGTGTGTTTGTACTGCGAAGTTTGGAGAAGAAAAAAGTTGAAGCACCAGTCAGATGCCTCCCTCGAAGGGCCGGCTGTTTTTGGCAGGCGCCCCCCTAACCCGCGTACATGGCATGAATAGAACAGAAAGCAAATGTGTCCCTCCTTATGGTAGGTCAGACTACAGTGCAGTCCAGATTTTCCGGGGAGTTTATTACAGGGCTAAATCAAAAACTGAATTTCAACACAGTGCCATATGAAGCTTTTGCCTCAAGGGCCTGATTTCCTCATTCTCTGGTGTTTTAACAATGAGGCTGTACTTGACAGTCCAACTGAGGCAGTCGTGTTTAAGTGGCCCTCGAGTTCAGCCTATTTTGTGTAAAAAGAGATAAAAGCGCCAGTGAGGATTGATTTGCAACTCATGGGAGTGAGGCTAATAAAATCCTAGCCGGTCAATACTTATCAGACGCATCAAAAATCAAGCATGAAAATAAAAATACAACCCATCTTTGTCAACGTGTTGATTGCCCAAATGTTAATATTAATAGCAAAATACTATAGATACATTGACCAGACTGCATATTACTTCACCGGGTGCATTCATCAGTGGTGGGTATAGTGCTGAAAATCTACAAGCAAGTAAAAATACATTGACTCCCCCCCAAAAAATGACTCAATTAAAAGTGAAAATTACCATTTGCAAAACCAACTCTAGGAAAGTAAAAAGTACCTTGTTAAAAAATTATTCAAAGTACCTCCACTGCAACAAATGAACAAAACAGCATGTGTTGTTGTTGCACATGAAAAATTAACGAAGCTAACCATTGCTAGCTGACAACAATTTTACCTACAGTATGTGTAACTTACTTTAATGTGCTTATGAAGGCTTGAGGAGGAGTTTCTGAAAGAGCAGATCTCAGTATTTTCTTTCTTTCCGCAGCTGGAAACTTGGCAGCTGCAACAGAGATGCCCCATTCACGGTCTTCTCCCTAAGAGTCAATTCCAACATTTAAAGCTGAATAGTAACAAAGGTATAAATGCTAATTGTAGTGAAGTTAAAAGTAGATTACTGGATGGCATGGTGGTGCAGTGATTAGCATTGTCACCTCACAGCAAGAGGTGAGGTGGGTTTGAACCCTGGGGTGGGGAGTTTGCACATTCTCTCTGTGTCAGCGTGGGTTTTCTGGGGGTACTCCGGCTTCCTGGTCTGAGGAAGGGCCTTGTGCCCAAAACGTCACCCATCCATGAAGTCATTAAATTTTATTTGCATTGGAGCTTTTTTGGTGTGCAGACTTCTTTTCCTTTTTGGTACTCTGGCTTCCTCCCACAGTCCAAAGACATGCAGGTTAATTGGTGACTCTAAGTTGGCTGTGGGTGTGAATGTTAGCATGAATAGTTGTCTGTCTCTATGTGTCAGCCCTGTGATAGTCTGGCGACCTGTCCAGGGTGTATCCTGCTTCTCGCCGAACATCAGCTGGGAGCGGCTCCAGCCCCCCCGCGACCCATAACAGGATAAGCAGTTACAGAAAATGAATGCTTATATGAATAAAAAGAAGATTACTGAGTAAATAATGAGTTTTGAAAAGGGATCATTAAAGTACTTCTCATTTAAAAAAAAATGGTTTGACTCATTTGTGTTACTTGTAATGAGCTACTATCCAACCCCGCATCAGGCATGACATACGAAAGGAACAGGGACCAATGAAAAAACATTGCTTCACAGTGCTGCTGACTCAAAAAGCCCATTTTTTGAGTTACAGGACCAATTTTCAAGGTTTATATTTGGAAATAATTAGATGTTTTCCTCCATATTTCCCCTACTTTTTATTGTTGATGACTTTAGCCCTGAGTCAGAATCATTAAGTATTTTGGAATTTTACAGGAAACCGCAGCCATGATGGACAAAATCCCCCTGTAACTTTTGATAGTCTTGGTATTACTTCATTCTGACTTCTGCTCCGACTGTATGAAATCAGACATGCACCTGTACAAACTGCTGCCCCAGACGGGATGATCCTCTTAGTGCCTTAGCAATCTGGGGACACTATTCCCACTACTTACTTTTGCCAATTTGCTCCTGGGAGCCCCTGAGTCCTTGTCTTCATTAAGGGAGTTCCTCATTGATCAATCACTGTCAGAGGAGCTGCTCTGTAATTGCACTGTGGCCTAATCATGACTGACGTCTCAACCCTCCCCCCTCTCTACTCTGTCACAGGTCTCAGGAGAGAGAATGTTCCATGACTTTCACACCTTCGACCTCAAGGTAGGCCTCTCTACGGATTTCACTCCTCTCTCTGTGGTTTATCTTAAGAGCTATATGGTTTTATAATGGCTGTTATAACTCTAATTTGACTACTGGTGGAGATGATGAGGACAGGTAAGTTAAGATGGGTGATGGGAGATGGATATTTTGAACATGTAGAAGCCCCGATGACATCACTGCTCTGTTTTGTTTTCACTGACTTTGAGAAAGTGTGAAAATCAACTTTTGCTTATCATCACATGCAACTAATGTCCAACACACTACATTTAAACTACAGTCCAACAGAGTTGCAGATCCTGGCTTGAGTTCTTAATATTCATCAATCAAACCACATTTTTATTGCGAACTGATTTATATGTGCTCTGTTTGTCACATCCAGTGAATAGGCCCTTACATCTGTCAAACGTATTACAGTCAATGTAAGACAAAACACAAGTCGTAACTGCAACAAATTAATCGCCCTTGACATCTTTACTGAGGCACGCACGGCGTTCCACCGGCAAACAACTTCAGAAAATATGCACACTTGCCTATATAACAAATTAAATGTGTTGTTATATTACCCTTGTTAAAACTAATGACTGATTTTCTGCTGTTGTTTTGTTGTTATATGCATGAAGTATATTTGCTAAGTTTCCCATCTAATTTCCCAGCATCACACACCATGGACCACTAATACTGAGCACCAATAAATGTGTGCTTTTATTGAACAATTTTCTCTCACATGAAAATATGCATGCATGCACATGCACACCTCTAGTTACAAACATGAGTGCAAACACACACACACACACACACACACACACACACACACACACACACACACACACACACACATATTAATATACACTTGTGGTCCTGCTTAAATTAAAAGATGTGCATTGTTTTTTTTCTTCATATGAACGGGAAACATGGAGAGAATATTATAAAATTCTTCCCGAAAGGTGGTGTACAACAACACATGTCGCATTAAAGATTTTCGTGCTAAAAAAGTCATACTATGGGGCGTTGGTGGCTTAGTGGTAGAGCAGGCGCCCCATGTACAAGGCTGTTGCCGCAGCGGCCCGGGTTCGAATCCAGCCTGTGGCCCTTTGCTGCATGTCATCCCCCCTCTCTCTCCCCCCTTCACGCTTACCTGTCTATTAAAGGCAAAATGGCCAAAAAAAATATCTTAACAAAAAAAAAAAAAGTCATACTATTACCTCTAAATTGGCCTGGGAGATATTACCGTTTACAGCCATTAAAATAATGCTTCATTTCAATTTGTAATACAAGTTAGTGAAGTAATGAGGAATTCTGAAAAAAAAAAACAAAAAAAAAAACTTATTTTCTGCAAACTTCTTTTAGAATTCTGATTAATACATTTCCATATTTGCAATGCATCATCTGTTAACTCCCACAACTACTCCTGCCCGAAAGAGTTTTGGTAATTATTCCTTTGCGGCTGCTTAACCAAAACCAACAAACCCACTGACAAAACAACTATTGAATAAAACAAAACATTTTGGGTGACAAGTCAAAGTGAGAAAAAAACATCTCAAAATATCTGTAGAGCACCGTGTAAACAAAGCCAGCTGTGTGGTAATGCATTTGAGATGTTTTTAGGGGGAAAATGTAGTGCAAAACATTAAGTGAAAAAGTGTCAAACATAAAACGAAAGCTACAGTTACACAAGAGTCTTTAAGGTATATAATCTGCAGGGTAGTGTCCATCAGTGCAGTGTGCTGCTGACCACTACAAGTGACATATTCGGTTACAAATCCAAGTGAACAGTTCTCTCAGTTTCACCCAGGAGGTATTTCATGTGTTTGGCTAAATGTGCCAACAAATGTGAACTAGCAGTCTCTCCTGATTTGTGAAACGCTGGATACAGTGCAATGTCTCTGTTCTCACTCTGACCTCAAACTACTGTACTTTTCTCCCTCCTCTCCAGAGTTATGCAGGGAGAGTTGGAGGAAAGCAGCTTTGAACAACAGTAGTAGGAATACACTGATGAAGCCAGATAGCGAGAGCTCGGATTCAAGCTTGTGCATGCTCATGAGATGACTTTCTGACCGTTTACTTTGGATATCATCCTTGTAATACAGATAATCTGCTGCAGTGCTGCACAAAGATGACCTTTCTTTCACTAAAAAACTGCCCAACAACGAGGATTTTTCTTTGATAAAAACCATGCTGTTCATTTTCCTTCTTTTCAAACACCTAACACACGAGGATGAGCAGCTGGTCATGGGACCTTAGCGAATACACTCAGGAGGTGATGGTGTTTGTGTTGCCACTGAGCAACATTAAAATATTCCTGCTCACAGTTAACTTTGCACAACTGCAGCACGCAGTCAAAAAGATGGCGCGTTTGCCATTAGCTCCTTAATCCGCGGTGTCACACCAACACACAAGTCTTTGGAGAACGAATTGGAAAAGATGCAAAATGATGTAAAAGAGATCAAGAGCGATTTTACGCATTGAAATTGATATCTGTGCCATGATATTAAACCCACTGGGATGCAGGAGTTGCAAAAACTTGATGTGATTCTGTAAAATGATTTGTGAGTCTCCCGTTTTTGTGACTGAAAGGGGTACAGCACAGATTAGTCTCAGTTCTCTTGTGAACCTGCATTAGCACAAGATTATTCGTGCTTACAGACAGTGATTGGACTGAATGCCTTATAGACCTGCATTGGGCACTGTGTTGATGTAAACACGGTACAACCCTGCTCTCAACACATTAATATTTCCTTATTTCTGTAATTATTTAGATTTTTAAATTGCAGTTAGCAGCTTGTGGAGGGCTTTACGCATGTACTGTATGTACATGACATGATCTGTCATCTCCAAGAGAGGGCACGGACACAATTGCAAATACCCCCCCTCCAAATATGCTAATGCTTTATCCCATGCCGTATTTCATGCAAATTCCTTTCATCATATATTTTCAAATGTCATTTATATGACAGCTGTAGCACAAGCATCCATAATGTTTTGACTAGGGGGGAAATTGCAACACGGATCTCGGTCATTGTGAATTCTGTCCACAGTCACAATGAGAGAGAGTCAGAAATGGTGAACTCTCCGTCCTATAGAACATGACTGTTTTATTCAAAGACGTGTTGATGATAAATGGGTGCTGCTGGGGCAGGACGTACAAAGGGTTATATGAAAATTGTATTTTCAGCATTTGGATCTGGTGGGGAGAATTCAGTGTTATTTTATATATTTTACCAATGACAGACATAAAGAGTTGGTCAAGAGGGAAAATAGCCACATCTACACATCAGAATTGTAGACTATTTGCAGTACTAACATATACAAAGAGTTACCCTGAGTAGATTTTTGTTTGTTTTTCCATTTGCAACATCCTCATAGCCACAGTTCTGTAACTTCAACAACTAAAGTCAAAAATAAAGTGTGGTATTTCCCTCCCAGACTATGAGATTGCAGGCACCTTGGCATTTACTAAGCCCGCCATGTCATTGTCTGCAATACTCTTCAAGACCATGTACCAGGAAAGTTTTAAATTTAAAATGTAATCAGCACAATCACCACAAGCAATCAGTTCCTCTTCATTTCACCTGATCGAGCCCCCCGCTAAAACGAGCCTGTTAAATAGAGCATCTTATCAGGCCTGGATTAAGTCTTGACTTTGATTAACATCTGTAGTTGGAGTTTAGAATGTCAAAGTTCAAGTTTGGGGAAAATATAGTTTTTTAAAAATGCAAAATCACCAGGTGTCATTATCAAGCAACACTTCTATTTGGAATGAAATAATTCCACAATCACTGTGGCACAGGGCTCTGGTCCACTGAACCATAGAATAACTTGATGGCATCTACACACTGCACAACTTTCAAAGTTGTGAGATTGCTGTTCTGATCACATTACATGACCTTATAGTGGGGCATCTTTAAGTTGTGGTTAGCAAATTACACGAGTGATCGGTGACAGGGGTCACACAGATCACAAGACAGCAAGACCAAGAGTCAGACAGGAGTTCTTCCCTCCAAAAATGGATGACCGCAAGAAACTTGTGATGCGAATTGTTACTGGCCGACGCAGCAAAAAAACCAATAAAGGACACAAAACAAAGAATATGGAGAAGAGAATGGCTCCTCTCCATATTAGATGGTCCCTGCTGTCATTGTCGGCCAAAATTAATTTCACACAACAGGATTTGGACTTGCAGACAGGTCTGGATATTGAACTTGCTAGATGTCTCCTGGGCCTTTGCAGCACATTGATGCATTGGTGCATTTCTGCCATCTTTAAATATTCACACATAGCGATTGTTGCTTACAAAAGCAACCACCAGTTTGCCTCTAGGGCTTTTCTCTGTGATCTCCAAAAACTGTCAGTGAGAGAAAAATCAAGGCTACAAACTTGTGGTATAAACTTGGCATTGGTCATGCTCACCAGCATAAAAGATGAAGGAATAACTCGACATTTTGTTAAATACACTTATTTACTTTATTGCTGAGAGTTAGATTAGAAAATGATACCACAGGAAATAGGCTAGGAACCTGAAGGGTGAAACAAGATTCGTGGGCCAGCGAGGTATGTTCAGTCAGTTTTCCATCCTACGAAGGCCGCTCTCTTTTAACCTGGCTAGATTGCCATGGTAAACTATGCAGAAAACCTAACCTAGTCAGGACCAAGTTTTGTTCAGAGTTTCAGCTTGAAATCGTTCTAAAAGTGCCTTTCGCCACTCCTTTGAATAGTGCCACCCTTAGTCAATATTCAATATAAGAGCTATACAGATTGTAAGCTGAGGGAAAACGTTATAAATGCAGTTTATCCAACTTTTCTTGTTTGTTTCTTTGTTTTTTTGTATGAGAACTTACAGTAGCCTACATCAGTGATGCAGAAAAAGTTTCATTTGATTTGCAAGGTTGTTCTGGCTGAACTACCGAATGTGTTTGTAGTGTTCTTTGGTCCCTTGGCCCACAATGGCCATAGGAGAAGCTGTCTATACTTTTATATATCACTAAATTTTTAATCAGGATGAT